ACGGTAGATTCTATAACGATTGCAACACGTTCAACTTTTGACTTGAGAAATGATACCAATAAGCCCAAATGCTTGGATTCAGAATATAGAACTGGTTGGTTCCCGTGATCTGATTGCGGCAAGGTGCGCTGTGTCCTCCGTGTGCCATCGAATCGACTCATCATAGCTACTGTGAAGTTTATCAGTAGTCAAACACTAAACACATTTTAACTGCATAGTGGCCACATTTTAACTGCATAGTGACCGATTCTACGAGCAACCCGTTATCCATCCGTGACTACCCCAACCATTTTTTCACTGACAGTTATTATGACAACCTGTGATGTAATGTGTGATGTAATTTGTTTATTATGAAGTACTGGACATAGTTTCGTTTACAATTCGATTCTATTGAACACTACGGCGAACCAATAGCGGGAAATTTAAGTAACACGAAACACGAAACACGACCTTTCCAAGGTTAACATGAAAATACAATCAGTAAAAAGAAACTCCTTGGCATATGTAAGCGTTGTCATAATTCGTACAACCTTGCTTTATTGTGCTCCTCTCTTCCAATAAAAGATGCATTTTTCCTGATCAGCTTCTCTTCATCTTAACTTGGGTTTTACCACCGAGTAGATTGAGTTTGGGGGTAGCAAAGTGAAAATAAAATTTTAAAAACTTTTGCAGAGAGAGAGAGAGAAATTGAACGGGGTAATTTTAAAATTTAGGTTCTGAGGAAGGGGATTCACTCGGGAGATGATGATAATTGTTTTGCAGTTAACGTGGTTTGATCAGCTTATTGGGTCCGTAAAGATGTGATTATTACTACGAAGATCTGAAGTAGATCTGGATTGCGTCGTACAAAACTGTGCTCAATTTAGAATGAATTTTGAGACTCCGGTTACACGATTGCCGCTGTCTCCCCTTGCCCGCACATGCACAGAGGTAAGAGCATTCTGATTGTTCAATCCGTCGATCGGTGAGTTCGACCGATCGCTCCAGAACAGCTTCGCTAATGAGATGCAGTGAAAAAGTCCAGTAAATAAACATGGAATACGATATTTATTAGCCGAATTCTCCATTGTGTTCGGTGAAGCTTGAGCGTGTCTCAGACTGCACCTATGTGGACCATCTTGCATTCATCTGTTACTCTAGGCGGTTCCATCAAACTCATGCAAATTTGGACAGATGACGGTTGTTAAGCACCTATAGCTTGTGGTAATATTCCACGCGTAATGTCCGCGTCTCTACACCATTAAGCGGGAATGGTCGGTCTATCAGGAATCACGCTTGATCGGTACCGTGCAGCCGGATGTTGCGGCAGTGCCAAAGGTGTCGCAACAGAGCCTTCCGTTTGTTTCTGATAATTCATTCCAAAACTGATTCGGTATGTGTGTGTGTGTGTAAATGTAGGATGAGCTGCGATTATCTAACAATCCTCAGCCATTCGAGGCAGCAGAGGTATACTATTTTGTTGACAATTAGGGAGTAAACTCCTAATAGTTGGCTCAACACTGATGACAGTCTGCCAGTTTGCCTCATATCTCTTTACTACATCATAATATCTATTCCTAAAGATCGTTTCCAGTTAGTAAATTTTACTACTATTTTAGTTTACGATGAATTGACAGTAATAGGATTTAGTGATAGACAAGTAAGTTTAATTCCGATAAGATCTGATCTGACTACACCCCACGCTTATGATTAGACAAGCAGAAACTTAGCACTACCGGAGCCTGACCGGTTCAACCGGGTCAACACTGATGTCCGATCGGGTTTAGGCGTGTGAAATTCACACCTCCCGATTCGATTCCACGAATTGTGATCGTTGCGATATGTTCACACTTCGCTGGTGATGAATAGAGTCTGATTGGCCTATCCGCCTTCATCAATCATTTGTATTCTCTCTTACAATGATCGAGATGAAATGAACTACATCGAATGGTCATTCGAGTGGACAACTCAGTTATTCAGATCATGGCTATAGATGATCGAACCACGATCAACATGCGTTCAGGATGATTGGCATGTCTTGTTCTGTGATCGCGATCGATCACTTTGACCGTGGAGATTATGTTGTTTCAAATATATAATATGGTTTGGAAAAACTGCCTACCTTACGGTTTCTGTCTAGCTCCCCGATTTCATTCCGACGTGTGTTCAATTCCCACCGATCATGATTATGTGATCATAATCACGTTTGTGTCTGTGACCACATTTGTGTTGGTGGCTGTGTGTGTGCGATGTGTTACCAACAGTTCTGACATCTCGAGTATGCAATACAGTGGCTGAAAAACCTTTTTGGCTCGAAGTTCCAAACTTTCCTGAATTTCAAACTATAATGTGTGCCGCAGAAGCAATCTAATTCTCAGTTATATCGTGAGGGAACAACATAGGACCTCATTGAGTTAGATATGGTATTGAGCGATGTAAAACTGTCCAATGTAAAAGGTCAGACTGCGGGAAAAGCAGTACTTATACATGAAAAACGGAGTGTCTTATTGATTCGCCCCACCTTTGATCATCGTCAAATAAAAATACTCCGTAAAGCAATATTTGCACTCACAGATTCGTTCTCGCGTAAGTATCCAAGTATGGTCTTGATCCACGGGACTGCCTCCGTATGGTTGAACACCACAATCAGCACGGACTGGTCTAATTGGAGCTGATGCTTGGGATTCTCGCTCTGGTCCGAGGGTGTAGATCGACTACCCAGAGTGAATGGAACCAGAGAATCTCGTCTGTCGAACGAGACAGGGACGTTTACGAATGCCTGCACCAATGCAACAGTCTCTTCAGTTGATTCTGGTGGCAATAATATCCATAACCGGATCGGGTGAAGTGTGCGGAAGGAGACGGAATACACAATGGAATGGAAAATCTCGATTTGTCTTGAAAATTACTATCATGAATTATTTTTACAATATAACATCATCTACTGACAAATTTACAAGTAACTAATCCATAAATGTTTATTTTGATATTTGGTTTTGCGACCATGACTGGCCCTGGAGGTACGCTCAAGGGAACTTTCAACTCCATTATTTGCCGCCTTTTTGATCACATAAAAAAGCGACTGTTAAAATAAATTTTGGATGCGAAATGAAATTCTGGGAAGATAACTTGTAGTAATTGTGTTATGCACTGATCACGAATTGGAAATCCCGTACTAGCAATCACTGACGTAACCTAAGCACTGGATCACACTGGTACTTGCACGCAAAATCCCAGGTAACCAGGACGCGAGGAAAAGGCCACAGGAATAGCCGTTCGTTTATTGGAAGAAATGAGGGGGATTATGTAATATACACAAAACAAATTCACTGGTCATCCAAGCCTCTGCTAATCGTATGCTGGTATTTGTGGTGTTATTCAGCTTCTGTCTGGGCCACACGGTTTCTGATTGGTTGATACAATCGGCTTATGGTTTGTAGTCCAGAAGCTGTGATACGTACGCGCATTGCTGATGTCACCTGGGAAGCTCCATTAATTACAATTGTCCGAAAACTGTAATGTATCGCTCCGTGGTCAGCTTCATCTCGTAGCCTAGGGTCACCACAGAATTACGAGAAACAGCCCGCTAGAAGAAGTAGAGCCAGCGCATGAAGCGAACTTATTCTCTTGCCACCATGATGATGATAATTACATGTTTCAAAGACAGATTGATCATCAAAGCGGCTACTAGGATTCGGAGGACTCCGGTTCTCCTTAAAAAGATGTACACGAACCGAAAACTTTAAACTACCACGTTATCAAACCCCGCGTCACAAGAAGTGATTTGTGAGAACAATGTTAAATAGAGCTACAAAAATCGTCCAATCCGAAGAAGAACAGAGTTATCGATCACATGTATACAAAGACGTAGCCAAAAGGTGAAAATATCCAGAGGATACTGATCAAAATAAACAAACAAGAAACAATGATCAAGAACAACTCTGCAAAACAATAAAGATGTTAGACAGAAAAACAGGTTTTAACAAAAGGGATTTCAGAATATACCCGTTATCATGAGACTACACACACACACACACACATTCACGGGAGATAAGTTGTTTCCGCTGTACAGATCATATAAGAAAGTGAAATGCGAAAAGGGTCGACTTTCAGGCGCTCAAACATCATAATGGTTATTTGGGTGCGGGAGAGGATGGGGTGTGTAATGCGACGTGTCTCACACGAATAGGTCTCCGGATGGCGCCTCAATCCGGTCGTAATGCGCCATATGTGCGATCGGTC